ATGAGTGTGGCTGACCGAGCATGTAGGATCATTAGCAGTAACTCAGGAGATGGTTGGGAAACGTTTAAGCTTGTTATTCGAGGCGCTTTCCATATACTGATTGTAAGGTGGGTACAACTGGCCAGTCCAACCTTTCTTTGGATATTTGTGTTTTTCATTTGTCCCTCTTGTTCCCCTTCTTCAGGGATTACCTTCGTCATACTATGTATGTGTGAAATGATGGATGCCATTAGATAAAAGGCTGACAGAGGAACTTGACGAAGCAAGGCCTTCGAATTACCTTCTGCCATAACCAGATGTTAGTTTTGCAATGAGGCGCTCATGATAGACCCTATTAAATTCTTTTAATAAGCCGAATGATATTAAGTCATTTGATCAATATTACCAGGGTTAGAAAATATATCCTAGGTAAAATGGAACAGCAGCGTTTCACAAAAAAGAAGATTTTGAGGACGCTATATTGATTTGGAAGTAACTTATTGTTCTCTGACTAAGTGTCTATGTTTGAGTATTTAACATTGTAAAGCTCGAAAGCTTCAATTGTGATTCATATGGGGCCACTCGTTGTAAATCGGTCTTTGTCACCGTTTATGTAAATGTGAAGACATGTTTCTACTTTGCGGTTATCCTCTAGCTTTTTCCTTATTAATGATTCCTGAAATATGTTGGATAAACATTCAGCCACTGTGCCCATGATGTTTTTGTTTTTCAGAATTTTAGAGCTTACGAAGTACCATCTACGCTAAAGGAACGTTTTAGAGTTTCAATGGTTTCTACAATAACAAAATACGAAATGTCAATGGCTTCCCTTGGAGGGTAATCTTGGAGAGTAATCGCGGTAAAGTTGAAGTGTAGAAAAGAGGGGCAACGGTCCTTCAACAACCGACGACTCCAGAAGTGACTCCAGAAAGAAGTGATCGAAATGTTCTCGGACATTTCTATCAATTTGCGGGCACAAAAAATTTACACGGGCGCAAGTATTCCGGGAATCAGAGTGGTGCTGGTCCAACTGCAGGAGGAGAGAACTAGAAATTCCCTTTGCCAGTCGGACACTTTCAATAGGCGGGCGCAATTACTCAACGACCGAGAAGAAATGCATTACTGTCGTCTGGGCGGTAACCTTGTTCCGCCCGTGCCTGCAAGGGAACAAGTTCCGAGCGGTCACAGACCACCGTTCGCTCCCAGGAACTTCCGATTGGCAGAATTTTACATGAGTGTCGTGTATATGTCCGGCCAGAAGTTCAGTCGCCCGACTCTCTATCGAGAGCCCCCGTCAATTCCTGCTAGTACTACCGGATACGACGAGGCTTTTATTGGTGCCGTCAACATTAGCTATATGGCATCACTCTAGCTGGCAACACTCAACTCAGCGGACTGTTGGAGCACTTGTAGGGCCGATAAGCCACAGTCTCGAGTATCTTTTTCAGAATAAGCCAGCCTTTGGGCAGGTACAGGGTGTACTATACAAAAAAAACTACGGCGCTAGCAACTCGGAGCGGTCATTGGTTATTTCTGGTGGTCATCGTGAAGACGACATGATGATCATACAGCTGGACCCCTTGGATACATCAGGACACTCGCCAGGATTTTCGAGACGTACTACTGGCCTAAGCTCCGGAAGGCTGTCCCTTGTTGACGTCCGATCGTGCCATGAGTATGAACGACGCAAGAAACCGCTGACTGATTCGGCGGTACTTCTGCAGCCGTTAGCGTCTCCAACCACTCTATTCTAGGAGATCGAAATGAATTTACTAGGATCATCCCCGCCGTCAACGCAAGGCAACTAGTGAATAGTCGTGGCAGCCGATTACCTCCCACGATGTGCCGAGAATAAAGCCCTTCCGGCGGGAACTGCCACGGAACTCGCCACGCTCATCGTCGATTGCGTTGACCTTCGGCATGGTACCCCAGATGTGCTGATCACCGACCGGGGATCATCGTTCATGGCGCAGCTGGCACAAGAAATTCTTTGGCTCAGTCACACCAACCACCGTCGTACCACTGCGTACCACCCGCAGATCAATGGGCTGACGGAGAGATTTAACAAGACAATAGCCGTCAAAATCTCTATGTACTTCGACGTAGAGTAAAATGCGTGGAACTAGGTGTTGCACTATGGCACTTTCGCCTACAACACGGCAGTTTAAGAGACCACTAGATTAGCACCTTTCCAGCGGGTGCAGTATAGGAAATTAACAATCATGATCGACGCGATGCTGCCCCATGAGACAGGTGACGAAGAGAGCGGCGACGGCCAGGTGGTTGCTCAACGCGCTGAAGAAGTCTGCCAGGTAACCCGATTCCTGATTCAAGACCAGCAACGCGTAGACGCGGACCGCTAAAACCTTCGTCGCAGGGACTTCCACTTCCAACCCAGAGACACTCTATGGGAGTGAACGCCCATCCCTCGCCGCGGCCTCAGTGGAAAACTGTCGAAACGGTGCTTTAGACCATACAAGATAATTCGTCGCCTCGGCGAGCTCAACCAGAAGGTGATGCTCGACAGAGCAAGAATATCATCGCGTTACCCACCACGACCTAAAGTCGTCCAGGCCGTGCTCCTCAAGTTGTACTACGATCGATAAGACCGTGGATTGTGATCCCGTGCTACATTTGATAGGACAGTGTTATACCAACCTCCATATTTTCTAGTTCTTTTGCTTGTTTTGCTATGTTTTGTAATATTGCACGTTACAGGAAGATGATCTTTTTTAAAGGGGCAGAAATGCCACTTGCGCATTCGAACAAACACGCCGTGGCCGAATCGTTATCGTGTTTGGCTCTGACGCAAAGGGCCGAGGTTCGGCGCCTGGGAGCGGACGTACCATTTTGTTACATCTGTAAACGTCACGTTCAGGTAAAGTCGAGAACTCCGTTGCTTGTACGAGGACCGAATGTTCTACGCGTCTACCCGTCTACGCCGATTGTTCTAGAAGCCAAGGCATGTACAAAGGGGGCTCCGCGTGACAAGCCAGTCATTTTCGCCGCAGCGCTCGTTCCTGTTGTTACGGCGCCATCGACGCCTGCGACGCTAGCCTTTTTCTCTTTTGCTTTAAACCAAAGTTCGCCCCATTAGCCTTTTCGTTTCCTGCAGTTTTTGTCACCTCATCCACTGCCATTCGTGACAATATTATTACGTGAATGTATAATGTGTTGCGCAAGTAAGTGTCTCCTGGAGCGGGAATTGTCCTGAACACAGAGCAACCGCTGAAAGGGTGAAGTCTGCCCGCTCGAGTGTTGAAGATATTTATATTTATACAATATTAGTCTAAACGCCTGCTGCCATTTATCTCCATTCCTGCCTCACAGCGCCAAAATTATTTATTATTTCCGCCATTGCAAACCGTTCCAGCCGTACCGTAACGCTAGCCCCAATACCTCGGACCCCCAAGCCATAACGCCGGCAGGGCGGCTAGTCTATTATCCGTCTCCCTTTTCCTCCTGCGTTTCCATCGTCGCAAACAGACACACATGCCTGAAGCCAAGAATCCCTGCTGGCCATATTTTCCTCGGCCCCGTCTGTGACCCTAAATATAGGAAGCCCCAACGGCTCCACGGCCATCGGTCGTATCAAGCTTAGAAATAAAAACAAACACTGTCCCGACAATATCTTCAGTGGACGCCCTCTCTTCCGCCAACGCAGCCATGCAAACATTTCCACTTCCTATACGAAACTCCGAGTTATCAAAAAGAAAAAGAAAAGCTTTTTCCCCTTTCCAGTTTTTTGAAGGGTCTTTATAATATGCATCACTAAAGCACGCTTGAATATAACAGTTAGAAGTTAGAAGCTCAACTTCCGCCCTAAAATTTAAATATAGCGACGGGACTGTTCTTTACCTTCTTCCGAAGGTCCTCCGGCTTTATTTTGATGCGTAACCAGTACAAATACAAAATACTTTTAATATAAACAGAAAAAAAGGAACATGTCAAGCGAATGCGGTTTGCTGCTACTTTGACACGATCACAGCAAACTTACCGGCTTTGAAGGATATACTTTTAAATATGTCCGGATTCTCAATTTTGGTCAAATCATTTTGGTGGCAAAATTATTCAACTTTTTTCAAGCTTTTTGAAGCACATTATGCATAACGATGATAATTCCTGGTGAACGACCAACAGAAACCGCCGAACACAGCTAGGTAACCTTTGCATTCATTGCGTTATAAAGATCATGATCTTTGATTTACACCAATTCATGCGCGTTGTTGTGCTAAACATTCACAGCACGAACCCGAAAAAAAAAAAAAATTCCGGAATGACTTGTTCTGGCGACCAGCTAAGAACGTTTGCTCTGCTTTATTTTCTCCACTAAATATGATGAAGGGAAAAAGGGACGGGCAAGAACGACAGACGACCACTTTTCCTGTGTTTTCGTTTACTTCCAGCGGCGGAACCTCGCGCTGGCGCTTGTTCCCTGGCTCTACTCTATGGACGTGTAGGCCACCGGCGGATAGTGTTTGGGACCGATGCTTTTGGACATTTAAAAAAAAATAGGTAAACAGTTAGAAAAAAAAAGATTCTCTTTTTGTCGGGTTATAAGCAATCTGCGTATCTGCTCGAGCAGATGTATTACGAAATAACCGTTTCAGGAGCGTCGTGTATCTCAAACACTAACAAAGTCAGGATGCTATATGAAGACGTAGAGAAGCGGTATTTTTGAATTTTCAGGAGATTTATATAAATTAATCGTGCCGAAATATACTCTTATTGTTTACTGAATTGCCAGCGACACTCAAGGCTTTTTAAATTGAGCAAAGCACTTCTATACACCTATACGTATGAATATTATATTGGTATAGACAAATATACTGGTACGGTAGTTCACATATTGGTTTGAATTCAGCACCATATATATTTTGTGTTTACTTCTGAAGGGCTGTAAGTAATAAAAACATAAACGAAACTACAATTTGAAGCCATCGTGGCTGATTTTTCTTCAACAGCTGCTTTACAAAGAAAGCACACCATATCTAATTAAGTTCCATTCTACGTCTTTTCAGGATTACGACGTGGATCTGTATCTGCGACAGACATGGACTGACCTTCGGATGAAGAACGCCAACCTCACAAGGTCCCTCGACTTGAACGACCCCAACCTTGTAAAACGAGTCTGGAAACCGGACGTCTACTTTCCCAACGCCAAGCATGGTGAATTTCAGTTTGTGACCGTGCCAAACGTTCTTCTCAGGATTTATCCCACTGGTGACATCTTGTACATGCTCAGGTACGTTTACACAACTTAATCTGCGGTGTCATCGGGGATATATAAGATGCGATAGCGAGGCGCAAATCTAGGGACGTACTAACCTTTAGTTCATTGAAACTCGATTTAACTACATGTGAAAAATGCAACGCATTGAGACGCTCAACTGAAAAAACCGTCTGAGAAAAAATTGAAGGAAAGTCATCGTAGCTTGAGTGAAATTTCGTGTTCTATTGTGGACTGCGATGTATCTGCCGGCAGCACAAAACTGCCAAAAAAAATTATTATCCGTAGCAATTTGTAATTGATTTTGTAGACCCTTTCTGGTAAATCCTCAGAAGGTTAACCACATTTTATTGAAGTGAATGAACATTGACTAACGATGAGGGGCCAGAAGTAATTTGTAGCTAGGAATAAACTCCGAAAGGTTAAAGTGTCGAGAACGTCATGTGTAATGACAAGCCTATTCTTCTGTAGAAGGCTTTATATTTTTTTGTAAAAGTAACGGTAGATTCGGTATTAACTGAGAGGCCTTGTGACATAGTTTGCTGCATAAGACTTATTTATTGGTTAAAACGATGCATACTTGGTGTTTATTTTAATTCGAAAATATTTTCTTAAAGGGTCTGTGCCAGTGTGTTATACGACCAAAGATACACAATATTAGACGCCGATAGTCACCATAAGTGTAATAATGGGCTTAGATTAGTTGATTAACTTTTTAGTTAGTGAGAATTACATATAGTTTCAATAAGAATCTTGCTGAGCATAATATAGAACCACTAAATCATTCAAATCAAAAAAATATGTTTGTGCGTGGTAAACGCAGGGGCGCGATTAACTTTCCATTCGCACAAATGGCCCTTCGCACTCATCCGAAAGCGCAGATGAATAGGTAAATGAGTTTTACTATTGTGTATGCGTGGAAACGCAAGTTCCTTTGCGTTTGCATTCGCGTTGCCTGTTCCACATTGTGCGTGCGAGGAGCCGAAACTGCTGTCTCGGACTGGCGCGTGGGGACGACGCGTTTGCGCAGTGGGGAGCACGCAACGCTAACGCAAACTCATAGCGTATCCGTTTACTCTTACACGCAATGTTAAAACTCTCCATTATCGTCCCCGTTTTCGGATCCCCGCCGTATGCATGCTGCACAAGGGGTAACTTTCAGCGCGGCTCCGCGATTTCCACATGCATCAGATCTCTAACAAAAGTAACTGATTTAGTTGTTTTAGGTGTTGCTCAGCAAGTCTATACTTATAACCATATGTTGAGTTACAAGAATTACAAATATAATTAACAAGGTGTACTCAATTATCTGGCTTTTTTTGTTGAGAATTATTCCCTTATGATATGCCCCTATGCCCCTATAACTAACCTGCAAAACCGCTGCAGTGCTTTGTCAGGTGTATTTTTTATGAATAGATTTGAATTGTGATTAATCACACTGTATATTGCCCGGTTTATTCACTTTGTTATGTCCCGGTGCACCGGCCTTACTTAATGTTTACCACGGCGAGCCCGCCGGTTTTCTTCGATACGCACTTGTCAGGGAGTCGAAAGAAAGGATGAACATTGGATCTAGGAAAGTTGGGCCGAACGAAGACCGGCCAAGGACGCATTGGTTTCCGAGAGTATCTCGGGAGAACTGGCGTATATTAAGAGTTCGATCAATAGGATCTTCGAGGGCTCGGTTTATGTCTGGGTGGTAGTCCCGCCAAATTAAAGTATTCCCTCCGCGCTTATAGTTGAGAACATATCTACATCAAATATTTTCTTATTGTACATTTTTTGGATTCACTACCAAAGCAACAAAACATATTGCAGAAAAGAAAAAGCCGCGTGAAAATGCAGACTCCTGGTTTAAGCACATGCGCGAAATACCAACCGAAAATCTCACTAGAATAAAAAAATAAAAACCCACGTAGTAACCTATATATTTTTCAAACTCTAACCCGCGTAGATGACCATTATGGAAACAATCTTAAATACGTTCCTAAAGCAACCATATTTTCGCAATTGGGTAAATTAAATACTTTTTTGTATAATACCTTGAAACGATTTTCGCTTGCTCTCATTCTTTTTGCGATTTTTTTTTTAAATGTGTACCGGCTTGTATATTGACATAGCGAGAAAGCTGGCGAGAACACTATAAATCGGTTTTCGTACCTTTGCATTTTTCCCTTAACGGCATATCACATCTGCCGCCTTTTCCGACACCTAGCTTGACGACCAAGACCCATCAAGATATAACGGAACACACGATTGAAAGTGACGGTGTTATTGTACACTGAATACTAGTAGGAATTATTACGAGCTGATATTTGGTAATATGCAGGTGCAAAGACGCTCAAACTAGTGCTCGGTGTGTGGCGCTTTTTTATTTTGCCCGCCGCACCATTTAATTGCTGAAGACTGTGTCTAACAAGCACCTTTCGATCGATGAGTGAATTGTGGCGCCCGTGCCTATGGCTCCTTTCGAACTGTCACGTGCATCGGGACGACAGTTTTGAAATTCTTCCAAACCTTATAGTTTCCCGGATCATCACACAAGAAAAACGAAGAAATGTACCAACTTCCCAGGTTTTACACTGAAAAACTGTCCAGTCACGATCTCATACCACGCGCTCCGGTTCCAACCCCCGTATATCGCAAAGATTTCTGGAAGTAACAGTATAAATTTATTAAGCTTTGATGAGATAATTATATTCATTGGGGAGCAATGGAAGATATTGTTATGCCCATGTTGTGGGCACATGCACCTATTTTGCGATTATATATTTTTCTCTGAATATTTCACGTCTCTGCAGTCGGCTTTGCATTAACGCGTGTAACAAAATATTTCAGAAGAGAGTCTTTTTTTAAAATTCTATATGAATGCATCCACTACTTCCCCAGTCCTATATATCTTATCTAGCTTCCCTCAAAAAGAATATTCTCAGTGTTACAAAGCGTAATTTAAAGAGGAGTCAGAAGCGTAGGAATAATATTCACTCGGGGATTTCATCCCAGCTCAGGAGGGGAGGGGAGAGTCTGCTCGTAATGTTAAGATGGCTGCGGTTTGGGATGGGGCAGACCCACAATACGTGTTTGTTTGAGGGTAAACTGCCACATGCCGCGCACTTAGGTTGGCGCGGTAGCTTGAGTATGTAGTATCGAATGTGTGGTGTGCATAGCGTGCCTGTTTCGGGTTGTCTGATAGATGTGCATTCTTGGCTTGTGAGAAGGTTTCTGGGGCACGGAAGTCTGGTTCGTGCATGGCGGCGATCATGTAGTTCGTGGGTGCGTTGCGACTGTAGCATGGACCGATGTATTTATGGGGTCATAGTCTTTCGGTGAGGGAATGAGAGTGAGGGTCTCCGGAGAGGACAGTGTATCAGGGGCGAGCCGGTGGGCTTATTGGAGAAGGAGGCGCTTATCAGTAAGTAGCCAGGTAGGAAGTAAATGTGTACGGCTAAGGTGTAGATGATGGGGAAGTGTGTTCCCCTGAACTCGTCTGATGGCTTCCTAGCTGTCTGATCGTATTGTACGCGGTCGTAGAAGCAACTATATATCTCGAAATCCAAGCCTTCATAACGGCTTAGATTTCGAGATCTCTGCCCGACGGACAGTTGTGGTAGTAGAAGGTGTGGCTTTTGGCCTCCTGCGCAGTAGCAACCACGCTTTCCTAAGTGTCGGGTTTATACGCTCCCTTCGTGTAAATGATGCTGGCGTCGTGTTCCGCGACGAGGCGAGCAGCTCCACGGGCTCTTTATTGCTTGCCCTTTCCGTCGTTCATATGTATTGGGAGAGGAAGGTATGTGAGATGTAGCGCCGGTGTCCAGGGGGGTATGAATGGGAGGTTGCAAGTGTCGTAGCTGAGGTCCTCCAGGATCTCACGCCCTTTCCTCGAGGTCTGAAAGCGCTGGATCTGTGCCTCCCTGGCGATGTCGAGACGTTCTTCGAGGGTGTTCATTGTCCCCGTGGAATGCAGTTGTTCGTTAGGGGTGTTTTGGGAAGGCCAGTGATGAGTCGGGCCGCCTTTAAAAGGAGCGCATTAAGTTTTTTCGGTCTGCCCTTTCCAGAGCGTGTAGTAGGGGAGGCCGCACATTATCCGGCTGATCACGAGGGCTTCAGTCACTTGTCATCCTGTGCGTTCTTTGAAATCATAGTGCCTTCTCGATTCGCGTTCGAGGGTGCGTAGTATGCGCGAGTATTGCTCCGCGGTGCGGGGGAACAACCCATTACAAAAACAGGTCTCAACAGTCTTTTTTTTTTATCTTTTTTTTTTGTACTTCTTACTGACTTTTCGAGATCCTACTGAATTCCTTTATGAACGCAGTTTGTTTTGATTGCTGTAAAGAACTTTAAAAAATAATAGTACTTTTGTAGACTTATTCATAAAAACAATTAAAAAGAGGTTGTAAAGACTTTCTTTTGTAGCACAGTTTCTAAAAATAAATAAAACGAAAATTTATTGACATCATTCCTTTATGTTATTTTATAAAACGAGAAAAAATGCATTTTTGTTTTGTTTATATGGTCCCCGTTCGCGTGCAGGGTCCGGCATGACGGCGATTGATGTCTGGTTCTACAAACCCATATAATTTTTTTTTTTTTACTTTTTGTTGATATTGTGTTGATTTCTTGTTCACTCTTACTACTTCCTTTTGATTTTGACTTCTTGATGACATGGTCAACTTAAAGTTTGTTGATCTTGGGTTGAAACTTTTCTGATGATTTTCTTTTGTCTGAGTCAAAAGAACAGCTGTTGACTTTCTATCACCTCTACGTTGATCATTTTTTGCTGACGTCCTGTTGAAAATTTGATCAGAAATACTGCGGACGTTATGTTTACTTCGTGTTGAATATAGTCAGTTGACCTTCTGTAGCCAGTGTGAATAGTAAAGCTAAATACTTTCTGTGTACTTTTTATTGAACAATGGTGTATCTTGACGAAATGTCAGAGGTCAGAAAGTTTCTTAATAGGCTCTGACAAGGTGAGAACCGTAGGGAGGTTCTTTAGTTCTCCCGTCTCCAGCGCG